TGTGTGTGTGTGTGTGTGTGTGTGTGTGTAAACATTAGCATGACTTGCTCGATAGATGGCACTGCAGGACAAGTTAGGCTCTGCTGAAAAGCTCAACGGGCCGAGCCTCAGAAATATTGCTTTAGCTCTTTTCAGCAAAGCTGTGCAAGCAACAGTTTGAAAAAGAAAAAACAAGCAAACACAAGTAGCAGTGATGGACGCGGGGAAAATGATTTTGCTGAACAGAAATCAATCACTGGTTTACTTTAGAAAATCGTCCATTTGGAGAAATTATCCCTGTATGTTTGTAAGAGACAATTCAGAGTGTGGTTTATTAACAATAAGTATAATTAATCATAAAGTGTTAGAGCTGTCTGTCCAGGCCCCAAAGAGAGTGCAACTCTAGAAAGCTACAGCTCTACATATGTACACAAGGCATGAAGTCGTAAGTTTTTCATTTCTGTACATTTCTGGAGGCGAAAAACACTGGCAGAGCAGAACTGAAGACAAAGGCAAGAATCAAAGAACAAAACACAAGAAAGCAAAAATGAAACAAAAGGAAGAACAAAGAAGAACAGTGAGGTTCATGGAAAGTGAATCATGTGCTACAGGAAACAAAAAGAAAGAAAAATCCACCATGAACAGCAAAGTGAAAAATCAGAGGGGAAAAGCAGAGATAGTGTACAACAGAACCCAAACCAAGAAACGGAAAAGAAACTACTCACACTGATCAATCAGGTGACTGTCTAATGAGCTAACCAACCACAAAATCCAAACTGCAGCAGCCCTGTGGGACTCCGACGTTCAGAGTCCTTGTGTGGTCCGTCCACCCGTCGATCAGGTCCCTGACCGTCAGTAGACAGAAGAGCCGATATGTTCCCTATGGTACATTTGGCACTAAGTATTCGCCTTTGGTCCAGCAATAGGCAAATAAATGTCTGTGGTTTCCCTTAAAAAGGTAAAAAAGGCGGCTCATTTTTCAGGTCCACAAGCCCCGAGCGGAGGACCGGTGGCGGTGGGATGGCGACGAGCAGGGAAAAGAAGCGTTGTTGTGTTTGTTTTTGTTTGTTTGTTATAAAACTACTTTTTTAGCACATGCTGCTGTCTCTCAGAACCACCAAGTCCACCGTCCGCTGGAAACTCTTCAGCAGAGAGACGGCTGTCTCATGCTCCATGTGTAAAAAACTATGTCCATTAGCCTGCAAGGCAAACACGCAGCACAGTCAAAAGCATGTGTGTGTGTGTGTCTGTGTGTGTGCTGCAGTATTTCCATACACATGTGTACTGTATGTGTGAGTGGGTTTGTGGAGGGATGGAGGGTCACTGCCATCACTATCTCAGTAACACATCACTGTTGGGGAAAAGAGAGAGAAGAGGAGGAGCTACACAGTCATGCTGTAGAGAGAGAAGGGGTAAAGACAAAAAAGGGCTTTTAGATGAGTTCATCCACCTAAACTGTACATCTGTGGAGAGAAGATGACGGGGGAGGAGAGGGGGGGGCACATGAGAGGGAGGAGAGATGGAGCGGAGGCGTCTGCTCGCAATCCTACAGCTGCAGTGAAAATCTACAAAATGTAAATGGATGAGATTTTTACTATTTACTATTTCTGTTACTAATCTCGTCTCTCCGCCGGAAGCGTAATACATGACGTGTTTATTGCTCGGTTAGTGACCATCGCTTGTACATTACTTTTTACGATGCGTCGCAGGAACAAATGAGTGCTCCGTGTAGGGTATGAACATTTTCACTTGATATTCGGACTGCAAAATGGCTCACTCACTACACAGTGGACTGCACAGTGACTGGTGAGTGATTTCGGACACAGTCGTAATTAGAAAGTAAGTAATTGGATCAGTAATTAGAAACTAGAGCAATTATATTTAAGGAGCAATTATACACAGCAGCAGAACACAAGCAAACTGGGAACGGCATAAAAATAGTCTGTTGCTGAAAACTCATTTGATTTGAAACATTTCTAACTGTTGTGTTTTCTGTAGAGAATCAACAGCTCGCATGTTTCCTCAGTAGTTTGAGTTTGGTGGAGGTAAACGCTCTCCAGCATCATTTAAGTTCTACCCTGAACTTTTTATCCTTTAACTTAAAGGTCCAGTGTGTAAGATTTAGAGGAAAGGGATCTATCGGCACGAACTGAATATAAAAGAATCCTCCTCTCTACGGAGGCCGCCATGTTTTTTACAGTAGTTCAGACAGGACAGACTAAACATTTTGAGTTTTTATAACCACTGAAGTCTACCACAGGTTCTCTTACATGTTTGGAAGTGGAGGGTGAGGTGAGGGGTATTCAGCTGCAACATGCTATTTCACCACTAGATGTCACTAAATCCTACACACTGTACCTTTAAATGAACCCGTAAACCTACGACTCAAAAGTCCTCAAGCGTTATTTGGTGACGAATGAAAGAGAGGATGTGGGGGCCATGCCAGATTTCATGAAATGACAGGTATGAACATACAGACAGGAAAATACTGACGTCTACCATTAAAACCAAGTGAAGGGAATCAGTGACAGTGTGCTTCTGTTGAATAATCAACACTACATGAAATACACAGTGACTTGTGTTGTCCTGCTTTATGCTCTGCCTTCATGTTTGTAAGAGAAGGGAAAGGCTTGGAGGGCAAGGTGTGGAGGGAGGGCAGGGTGTGTTCTTTTTCTGGTCCGTTTAATGATGAGTGCTGTGACCGTTACCTGCAGTATCTTGTCTCCAGGCTGCAGGGCGGAGGTGGCGGGCCCGTCATGCTGTACCCTAGTAACAAAGATACCCTATAAGTCAAAATGATACACCGTTAGGACAACACAGGGACACGATGGTTTAGAATCTTTGCCTTTCTCATTCTCACCCCCCACAAAATAAAAAAATAATCACATTTCTGCCCCAAAAAATTTGGAGAGGCATGCAAATGTTGCTAATAAAACTACTAGAAACTCATAATAACAGAATTTTTGCCATTTGAAGTATTGAGTTTACTTGTTTTTTGCATCTCTCTTAAAATTAACAATTAAATTCCTCCAAAAAAGACATTTTTTCAGCTATTTATGTGGCGATAAGGACTTGGTATATGTAGACATGGGGTTACAAAGAGAGGAAAATAGATAAATACAGCAAAGGGGAATAGGAATAGCTGTTGGATGAGTTCTGACTAAAGGGGAAAGAAGAAGGTCGCAGGGAGACCAGAAGATATTTCATCCCCCATATTCTTCTTTTTTTATCCCTCGATAACCCAAGGCAGAGATTGTAAAAACACCAACATCTTTTCACCGGGAGCTGAAAGATGTTTTTTTTTGGACACAGAGAGTGTGAGACAATGCAGCTGTATCGACTCAACATGTGTCAACAGTGTTGTGCACGTGTTGAAGACACAATAGTGAGCTTGACAGATATATGTGCCAGTTAGCCAAAAACGATGCGATGTAGTAGTGACAGTGCAGCAACACCTACACACTACAGTGTGAGTGAGAACAGGGACACACACACACACATTGCATGTCAGAGAGGTGCACATTAGATTTTAGAAACATTAGTCGAGTTATTGTTCGCGGTATAAAGCTTTTTATACAGTGAGCCTCATACAAGTACACAAGCAAAATACTTTGGATGAAGTGGCCATGAAAATTAATTTTGTGCACAAAGTTGCAGATATATGCAATTTACGCAGAAAACATTGACTTCAGTACTTGTAATTTGGATGTGGCCAGTTTATTACAGGTAACCTGTCGGATCACATATGGAGCTCACTGTACATCACAGATGAGTTTGTTAGCAGCTAAAACCTGAGCAGCGTTAGTCACAACAACCAAACATGTACAGACTGCGGCCGCACACAGAGCAGCAGCGTCCTGCAGAAACTTCAACATTCATTTAAATACACGATATAAAGAAATGATGAATTCCTCAGTGTTGACTTATTTTGATCGCAAGCAAACAATCTTCTTCTTTTCACACAAGTGCAGACAATATTAGTTTGTGAGTTGTATAAAAAAAAAAAAGGTCAATACTGAGGAGGAAGTTTTTGCAGCTCAGCGATAACATGTACACACACTTGTCTCCAAACATCGATAAGTGTGTTTGTTATCGACAGCAGCTCCGTGTGCAAAGACGGCGTCAGAATTACTTTCCATTAACACACCAGGAGCAGAAAATCTGATTTTCAAAACTTTCAATCCATGTTTTGCTCCTTCAAACTCTGACTTCTGTTCCTAAACTGAGCGCATCCATCCCCCCCCTCCATCCATCACTCGCTGTCAGGCCGTCAGTGTCAGAGGTCGTCTTTTAGGTCAAACATCTAAGATGCAACCTGTGATATGTTTTTTAAAACTTCTATTATAATTATAGTTTGTGTCATTTGAACAACACCTTTAGAAGGTAAACATTCAGGCTGTTTTCAAGCAAAGATGAATAAAGAGGTGAAACTAGAACAAGACGCATTTTTTCCTTAGAAAGTCTGACATGAAAAAGAAAGAAAACAGGAAGAGGCTCTCCAATTCAATCAGACATTTTCAAGTCAGTTTGCAGATGATTCTGCTCCATGGGCCACAAGATGGTAATAAAGCACCTCATTCATTAATAACAATTGTAACAGGCATTTTAAATGTTTCCCCAAAATATCAGCACCTCAAATTTCAAATATCAAATCATGAATTGCTTTATTATCTAGTCTATTTATTTATAAATTAACAAACTTATCAATTCTAATTTTCATTCACAATAAATTATTAATGAGTGAAATGCTTTATTACCCTTGATCCTCTATAGATCCAACAGTAATCTAAAGTGTTTTCAAATACATAAGTCTTTGATTATGTGAGCAACAAGTATTTCCTCTAGCTCTAGCAGGATGTGTGCAATTAACAAAGCTGGCCACAAGGCGGAGACACAATCTTGTTGAACAGCTGTGGCAGGCTCTCGAGGCAGGTGTGTGTGTAAAGTTTATCAATCAATCTGTTTGGATACACCGTCCAATTTAGTCTCGTGTTTGCCGTTAATCACATTCAACGAACATCAGAACAATGTGCGCGTGGTCTTCAACCTGGATATGTGCGTCCACTGGAACTAAAATAGTGAAAATGAAATGAGTTCTCACAGGTCTGTCAGAAAAGACGATCAAACCGTAACCATCAGCAGCTATTTGAGCTAAAACTGCTGACGAATCAGATCCCGAGTTCAGCTCCGTTGATGAGACATGAGAGAACTACAGAGGGGACACAAGGTGATCTGGAGCAAGGACGCAGGACGATTTCTCATATCTTGGTAAATTTGTCAAGTTTGAAAGTCAAATATCCACGTGAGACCCTGAATGAGCCTGAGGGTGAATCTGAGCTCAGGAAATCAGACGTGCAGTTTGTGACACAACGCATTTAAGAACTCTAAATTTCCTTTTCACATTAGAACTGTGCATTCTTCCATGACTTTGTGCAAAATCAACATCAGCTGACATCACTGCAGATACCCGGAGGTTCAGCAGGTGACTCACAACCACGTTTTTTTATACGCTGTAATAAAGATGGTGAAGAAAAATATTTAACACTAAAATCAAATGTCACCATAACTCTGTATTAATGTGGATAAATAATGTCGATATCTAGATCTGTATGTTTGTATAAACTGTGATGTAATTATTTAAGAAAATATTTAGCAGAATCACTGAAGAAGCTGCTCGCCTGCATTGACTCCATTTGCTGCCTGTGTAACATTAATAATGGACAAACTGCAGCTGCAGGTGGGAACTTTATGGATTCGAGGGGAGACAGGAAAGATTTAATGAACCGTTCGAGTCAGCAACTGAGTCACTAAGGTCGTGTTCTCCAGATTAAAGTTAAACGATGAACTGACACTTTCTATAGCATCACACCCACGATTTAAATTAATCCACCATCCCTCACGCGGGACGCACGGAGGCTGGACGTTAATATAAACTCCTCCTGTAGGCTTTTCTATTTTTAGCCCGGCCGTCTCGTCAGTTACTCAGCTGCTCAACATCTGAAGTCAGAGCAAGTCGGTAAAAATCTGTCATACTTCCCATCCCGAGATCAAAGTGTTGCACTGCATCTAAAAAAGAAAAAGAAAATCACCCACGGTGTCCCAGAAAAGAGCAGGCTTCCTAAAATAGCCCCGTGTGCAGCCTCGCTGCTTTAGACTATAGAGCACAGCAGCATGTTTCTAGGACGAGCTGCCATGTGCAGGAGGCCTCAGGGATCTGCAACCCCAACACACGGGCTCGCAGTGACAGACAGCAGCCACACTCACAGGTAGGGATGACGGCAGTGTCAGGGCCGGCTTGTAATGAGACGTTACGTCTTCACGTGAGCACAAATCCATCGCAAAATATTCAACTATTTCAGTTTTCCCTTTTTTCTAGAGACCTTGAGGAGGCTGTGAGGATGAAATAAACACAGGACATTACACCGTGCGTGATGAGCAGATGCATTGACGTGTTGTCGAGGTTTGTCTTTGACCCTCTCTCTTCTGATGCTGACTAAGGTTTTACAGCGTTTCAAAAGTGTTGAGTTTCGATGTGGTTCTTTATTCTTTCTCACACATCGGCCTCAGTTAAACTTTTGTTTATCGTGAAGTAAAGTTAACCAAGTCAACTGCTGCCTCACGGATTGACAGACACAACAGCGAGAGACGAAAACACTGCGGTTAACGAGCAGCAGTTTCCATGGCAACACTGAGGTAAAGCCGGCGAGGAGGATGTGATTAGCTGGCAGGCAGCCGGGCCGGGTCGGGTCGTACCATGTCGGAGGGCTTGAAGGGGTTCCCCTGGCCACTGATGCCGCCAGAGATACTGAAACCGAGACCAGGGTTCTTCTCTATTCTCACACACAGCTAGAGGAAGGGAAGAAAGAAAGAAAGAGAAGACAAAAGAAGAGAAGGAAGACGACTCAAAGTGAAAAACACAGATTAGAACAAGCATGGGAGAGACAGAGATAAACAACATGTGCAACAGGGGAGGAATTTTTTAATGTGATGTGCGACACGTTGTGGCAGCTAAACTGGAGGTCGTCAGTTCTCTGGCAACAACAAGCGAGCCACAAATACCCCCGTCACAGATTTACTGTTTGGAATAAAGTCACCTCATCACCAGCTGATTCATGCGGTGACTTCATGTTCCCACCGAAACTGGTGCAGAGTCTCCGTCTGTAAAACTAAAACTCCATCTTCATGACTTCTTCTACACCTTCTTTCTTTCTCTGTTGAAAGCAGCTGGTGATGTAACTGTTTTATATTCGGTCTCTTTTAGTCGACTGTATTTCAATGACCTCATCTGAGATCATCTCAACCTCATCATCTGGGCTTTGGTGGAAGTGTGCAGTGACATTATAGTTTGCAGTGTTATTGAATGGACCCACATCCTCAATTCTAATGTTCTTTCTAACCTAGTTGCTTAATATATATTTAGCCGTCATTAGAGCACAGCCCCATTTTCAAACAGACCTCCACGATAGCGTTTGCAGACAGAAGGACAGACAGAAGGACAGACAGATGGAGGGACAGACAGACAGACGGACATAGGGACAGACAGACAGATGGACAGAGGGACAGACAGATACCTGTTCCTGGAAACCATCCGTGCTCTTCTGCCCTTTAGTCTGCAACAGGCAGCGAGCGCTCTGAGGCCGCGGGTTGGTGTGGGTGGTCATGACGGCCTGGTTGCTGTGGACCATGCCTTGGTTGCCGTGGTACTGGGGGTTGGTGGCGGGCAGGGAGGACTGATGGGAGTGGGGGTTGTACTGGGTTTGATTCCCGGATGGGGACAGGGCCATGGGCAGGCCGCTGCTGGGGTAAGGCTGACCAGGGGAGGGGAGGCCTGGACGGAGAGAAAGAATGAGACTGAGGTAGAATCCGACTCCACATGACATTAAACAAGCCTCTTCTTCATTTCACATTGACTGACTACTGAACAGTTATGTCTGTCATAATGTTTCAAATTATAAACTAAAGGAAATTTTATTCAACCTGTGTTATGCTACAGTTCCTTTAACTGAATTTAAGAGAGTTAGAGCTGAAACTACAGATTATAGCATTGATTAATAGGCTTTCTTATATTTTAATCAATGGATAATTCAAATAATTTAGTCAAACAAATGACAGCAAGCAGTGAAAAATGTGTAGAACAGTTTCCTGAAGCCTGAAGGCTACAGCATCAAATATCATGCTCGACAAAAGATGGAGAAAAACTTCAAATCCTCAAGATCTAGAAACTGGATGTGTTTGACTTTTTCACCCAGTTTTAAAGTAACTGCTGCTTATGTCTAATGGATCCATCGACTAATCATTGCACCATCAAAACCAAACATTTTCAGATGAGACAGGACACGAGGGAGCAGCCAATGAATGCTAATGGTCATGCCTGGAATGTTTAAGACCGTCGGTTCAAATCCCCCAAACCCCCTGGTAAAATGGAAAAATTCAATTTTCTAAATTACAACTAGTGCACATTTAATTTTTTTTAAACATCAAAAATAATTAACAGATGAATCGTTTTTTTAACATTTACCTTGAGACATGTTGCCTTGGTACTGCCCAGGCCCCCCAGAGGGAACCACTGAGAGGGGCATCCCTGGTTGGTACTGGTTTCCCTTATTCATCATCCCGTCGTAGCCCTGCGGCCCGACCATGCGATGAGGCGTGGTGGCAGACGAGGAGGAAGAGGAAGTAACGATCATGGTGTTGTGTGATTGGTGGGAGGTGTTGTGGGAGTGGGCACTCTGCGGAAAGAGAGGGGACACGCCCACATCCACATTTAATTGCATTTTAGCGATATTTGAATGAACTTAATTCCCTCCCAACAAACGTCAAGATCCAGGAGTTCACCTTTTTCATGAGGTTGTCAGGTGGGACGTCTCTCCTGCCGAGAGAGTAGGGAGCCCACTGGTTGCTCCCTGACACCCCCTCCTGGTCATTATCCAGCATGGCGGCTTGCTGAGAGGGTGTCTGTTAGAGAGAGAGAGACACAGGCAGAGAGACAGAGTGACCATTTGTGAAAATGAATATTTAACTTTAGTCATTTTATTCACGTCTTTAAGTTTCAGGCCTGGTTGAGTGAACATCTGCAACATTAGGGTTCGGTCACAGAAGAATTCATTATATTTGATTTCTCAGAAAATAATTCATGGATTATGTTTTTTTTTTTCCAGGTAAACTTGGGAGACTGATTTTTAGAAGTGTGTGTAAATTGGTGCAGATTCCAAAAACAATCCGGCTCTACAGTGGAATTAAATGTGGTTTCATAAGGGACTGTTGGGCCTCAGTGGAGGTATGAACTCTACTGAGTGCCAGTCTAGTTAATTAAATAGATAAATGTGTGATTTTTTACCAACAGTCAACATGGGACTGAGCATTTCTCAGTCCAAAACATAAAATATTCATGACCTAATTATCAATAATTAAAATATCCTTTTTTAAATCAAAGCTATTATTTATTTATGATCGAACACTCAAATAATCTTCATCAGAACAACATGGATGTTGTGTAAATTGATTTGACTGTAAGTGACCAAACATGATGTCACATATTCATTCAATTCTTCACAGCTTTCAAACAAGCAGAATAGAGAGAGGGGGAAAAAGAATGATCAAATGTCTGATGTTTATTAACCTACAATTTTCCTACTCTGACTTCACATAAAACTACTACCTGCAGTAAAATGCTGTTTGAGTAGTTTTCAGAGATTTTAAAAGGTTTCCCAAAATGCAAATAGCAGAGAAATAAAAAATAGTTTACAGTTAACAATAAAAAGTAAGACAGCTGCATGGTGCAGACAACAAGACGAGATAAGACAGAAGATAATTCAGAATTAATTTGCTTCCTTCTCTGTTGTTTTGGTAACCATGGAATTTAGACTGTTCTATATCGGCGTCAATATTTGACATAATAAGTGACTTTAAATCACGTGGGGAAAGATTAATGAGACTTAAACACCAAAGTTGTATCAGACTCGCTGATACGTGCAGGTTGTGATGTTAGAAAAGGTAGTTGTAATTATCGGAGTCACAATAGCAGTAATGGCAGACAGTTAAATAATAGTTGGTGGTAGCTGGGTGAGGAGGTGTCAGTGGCAGCTATTCTCTATAATTACCTATGTGAGCAGTAATAAGAACCAGGGGTTCATTGTTCTCAGAGGGATACTCACGGCGTTAGCAGACGGAGGAGGAGGCAGTGGCAGCCAGCGGCCAGCAGGGGGCTCATGCTTAGTGTTATTGTAAAGGTTAAAGTTCAAAGTGCTGCTGCGCCCCTGGCTGTGACCCTGACAGAGCATGCCCAGCGTGAGCGTGTTGTGCTTTAGGACACCACTCTGATTGGAGAAGACGACATCACATGACATGGGTGAATGTGGTGGGGGGGCAGGGGGTGAGGGGAGGGGAGGGGAGGCGGAGCCAACACAGCGGGCTGCAGCGTGGCGACAACACACTGTGAAGCTCCACAAACAAACAAACAGTAGTAACATTGATAAAACAACAACAACAAGAGTGCAGAGTTGCTGAAAGCACAGAGAAATGTTAGCTAGTGGTCGATACAATACACACAGAACATCATGTCATACAAGCAACAACTGGTGGATCAGTTCATTCCAACAATAGTGTGTATGTGAGTATTTAAATACACAATAAGCCCAATCCTCAACGGGAAACTAATAACTGAACGGTTTATTTCAGTATTTTAAAGAAACACTGCACAACTCGGCAAACTGAGGAGTCCTGCCGAACTGTAGATCAGTTAAAAAGAATTAGAAATCATTCGAAAACATATAAAGATACTATTGTTTGTTGATGCATACGCTGCCCTGCAAAATATTCTCATCTTTAATATGTATCTCAAATTCACTGCACGATATCAAATTATTGTCACAATGCATATATATATATATACTGTTGCATTGTAATTCGGGACATGTGGATTTTTTCAGCACATATCCACAGTAGTGAGAGAGCAGCAGTTCAGGCTGACAGAGCGACAGTGTGGAGCGGACACACATGCAGCCGGACACATGTCTGATCAACCTTACAACACAGACTTACACAGATACAGACAGGAAGGGCTTCTGAATGCTGTGTGTGTGTGTGTGTGTGTGTGTGTGTGTGCGCATCTCCGTTTTCAGTGTGCGGTGCACTGACCCTGTCCAATCGTTTGGCCTCTATGTGCCTGAGTAGCTGTTGCCTCCAGTCTGCAGGCATCTTGGAGGTGATGTCTTCGGGTTTCTGTGGCACCACAGGTCTTACTTTGATGGTGTCATCAAGTGGTTTCTCTGGGCAGGTTGCCAGGGTGTAGTCAGGAGGCATCTTCTCCAGCAGGGCAGCCATGGTGGGACGAGCTGACACTGGACGGGCCTGAGGGGAAAAAAGTTACTGTTTTGACTCGATAGAGATTTATTATTTTATTTAAACTGCACATGTATTTTATATTGGGTGCATTTGTGTGTGAAATATGATGTCACGATGGTGTGGAAGTCGTTCAGACGACTGACAAGGTGTCTGTGTTCTGTGAGCTTTAGAATCAGTGTTTTCTGTGCAGAAGAAGCTCCCTTTAATACAGACTTTGGCCTTTTCAACTCTTCTGAACTTTCACATTCACACAAACAAATCTATAAACTACACAAGAGGAAAGTAAAAATATTTCTTCTTTAAATGAACAGTAACATATGTAACATGTCTTGAAAGGCAGTTTGTCATAACAACTTTTGTTGTTACCATTTGGACACGATGGGCTTACTGACGGAATATACAACTGACATAATCATCCCTGAGCCAAACTTCTAGCATTGCAACTGCTGTAACATTCAGTAACGTGACATTTTGGCAACTTGAACCATCCGGAGGCGTCGTGAGGGATAAATGGAACGTGACGATACCAGGCGGAAAAGCACAGACCGCAAGAATAAGTCAGAAGTGTTCAGTGTTAGTTTCGCAGCTCTTAGCTTCCCTCTTGTGCGCGGCTCCTTCATGCTGAAGGGTTCCAGATGAAGTGCTTTGCCCATCTAATCAACTCACTGTGACTATTTTGGGAAAGTTTAACTTGGGGCAAACTCATTGCATCTCCAAGAGTTTATTTATGTACTTGGGATTGCCTCCAGATCTGGGATATGACAGAAGCAAAGAACACCTGCACTGCACAACTTAGCCTGCACCTACAAAGACCTGATAAGACCTAATAGGTGGAAAAGCATAATGTAGAATTAAGTCCTTGTACTACAATATTTAACCCCCCCCACAAGTTTTTTTTTTTAGTTTAACTACACTGCTTTCTTGAATATTTAAATTCAATCCATCTACCTGAGATGCTCCGTAGGTCTCAGTGCTGTAGCTCCTTGCAGAGAGGGGGCGTCGCTGAGTCAGGCTCTTGGTCGGGTAACCAATCATGGGCTTCTTCTGCTCCTGGTAGGTGGGATAGTCGTCGTCATAGCGACCGTTTCTCTTGTTGTGCAGCATCTGGCTCTGGCTGTCGGCCATGTTGGTGAGAGCGGAGTGCTCCATGGGGCTGGAGTAGGCAAGAGCCCGACTGTAGTGAGGGGGGTCCGCCTTAGGAGAGGAGAGAACAGACATCTGTAATGTTGCCAGACTCTTTGCAAAGAATCACGAATTTGAACCTTTCATCAGGGAAAAAAAATGTTGGTGGACATTTCATGCACTGTCACAGTTGCCCCACATGATAAAATCAAAGCCACTGCAGCAGCAGAGCTGCCAGAGGAGATGATCTATTGGACCAATCTCAAATGTTTTTGTTAGTACCATTCATTTACACTAACACATTAATAAACATGGGGCCAAGGCCATTTTTAACAGTAGGAGTAACACATACAAACTAATAAGCATAATTTGGCAGCCAGCTCACACTAGCTCCTACCTGCTGTCTGTACTGAGCCTCCTGCAACGCCTCCTGCTGGGCTTCATGGACTCTGCGGAACAAGGCGAGCTCTGTGGAGCTCACCAGCGAATCCGCTCTCCTTAGAAACCCTGGCCTGGAGCGCTGTGTTGGGATTGG